GCCATCTTCCCCTCCCCCCTGCTCCAGCTCTCTTGCTTTCTCTGTCTCTCTTTCTCTCTGCAGGATTTTCATCTCACGCCTTAATCTAAAATCTACACTCTTCTTTATTCCCTTTCTTTTTCTTTATCTCTTCTACCTTTGGCATATTACAGAAGACTCCTAATGAAAAGGGGCTGTAGGTGAGAGTGGGTTAAAAAAAACAGGGTGAGGGGAACTTAGGGGTTAGTGTAGAGGGCTAGGTCAGAAGACAAGGCTCTGTGAGGGAAATGAGTAGAGATGGGGAAGTAAAGGAATCCTTTGCTGTCCAAATGTATTCAGTTTTTAGATTTGGATAGTGAGAGTTCAGCTGGCAAGGGATGCTGTGTTATCTGAATTTATAGAATTTCATTCCACATGCTGGGAAAATGGGAGACAGGGAGTCACAAGAATTCAGATAATAGGGCTTCATCCAAAAACTTTTGGTTTCTATTGCTAAGGATAGCTCTGCTTTTGTTACCCTTTATTTTGAAGACTCTGGAGGAAAACCATGCTCTAAAACCTGTTCTGTAGTTTCTTATGAAGTGTCCTGTTACTGATCTTTTGAGTCCTTAGAAGGTTCTTGCCAGGGCAGTTTTGATGCTTAATGGACACCCTGGCTGTCTGGACACTGCTGAACATAATTCTGGCTGCTCACCTTAGTTAGCTCCTGTAGCCTGCCCTCCTCCTCCTATTATTCCATCTGTCCTTTATCTCAGCCAGGTTTACGTGGTTGTCCCACTCAGCCATAGCTCCCTTTATTGTTTAGTTTTTCCAGAATGTAGTCCAAACTCATCAGACCATTATCCTTAGCTCTTGGCCCACCTTTTTTTTTTTTAAATCCTCACCTGAGGATATTGTTTCCATTGCTTTTCAGAGAGAGTGGAAGGGAGAGAGAGGGGGAGAGACAGAGAGAGAAAGAGAGAGAGAGAGATGTGAGAGGGACACATCGATTCGTTGCCTCCCGCATCAGGGCCGGGATCAAGCCTGCAACCGAGGTATATGCCCTTGGTCGGAATCAAACCTGGGACTCTTCAGTACACGGGTTTACTCTAACCACTGAGCCAAACGAGCTAGGGCCCACCTTGCTTCTTAATTTTATCTGGAGACCACTCATTGTGTGACCAGTACAGCCCTAAGGCTAACTGGCCAGTGTTGTTGATTGTAAAGGTATCAATATCTAGAATGGCTAATTTTATTTTATTGAGTTGTTTTTATGAATTAATAGCATCCTAGTAACTCCCTGGATAATAGTGCTGAGTCTTTGCCTTGGAAGTGTCTGCAAGATGGACATTGTGGCCTCTTTTTTTGTTCCCTGGTATAAGGAGATTTCCTTAGCTTAAGTGGCAGCCCCAGAATGACTGGCTTCCATCTCCCTAGTATGTGCGCATCAGCGCTGACTTCTGGATTGTAAAGAGAGGCAGAGTTGGCCTGCCCAGCAGGGCCCTGGAAAGAGCCACACTGAAAAATGGGTTAGAACACCACACCCTTCATTTTATTTTATTATCTGGGCCTTCGAGGTGCCTGTGGAAACTTCTCTTTTATCTTCCTCTCCTGCCTTCCTAAGGTGTGTATATTGTGGAGGCACATGGGCCAGTGGCCTCTTTGTTTCCTTGGCCGATTTTCCTACTGCCCTTTTCAGAGACCTCTCGTCCTATTCAGGGGACTCTGGTTAGTGCCATGGACTCATGTAATATAGACAGTGTTCCCTGTTAAGGTACCTCTCTTTAAAGGCAAGGCTCAATAAATATTTGTTTCAGTAAATGGCAGGGGCTTAGAGGAAGGAGTATAATAGTATTCTTCTACAGAAGAAACTTTTATAAATTAAGTTCTGTTTCTTTGCTACGTGCTATAGTGCTGTGGCTAAAATTGGTTGATTTTTGTTTTCTTCCACTCAGGCCCTATGAGGGGAGTGATTTATCCAAAAGTGTACAAATAAGTCACTAGCGAAGCAGGCATTAGAGCCTTTATCCTCTTGGACATCTAGTCTTTTTGTTGACTACCCTTAGGAAACCAATGTTCTCCTTTTATCCCCAGGGTCACTTGTAGCCATTAGCAGGCTAGGTTCTGTGTTTAAGCCACCTTAGCAGGCCTGCTGGGGGAGAGCATCAGCAGTGGGAGAGGGGGTATGCGGGCTGGTGAGGTACCTGGCTCACTGAAAAGGGGCTGGCATTTCCCTTGGGTGTCACACATCATGCCTTTTGGAGGAGCGGAGACTTTGCCGAGGCAGGGAATTTCCAAAGCCCTGGTTTCTATTTTCCATTTCAGATTTAGTTTGACCTTAATGCTAACTATTATACCCCTTCCTCTAAGCCCTTTCCCCTCAAAAGTATCTTGGGCTGGATAGCACATGGTGGTAGATGCTGGAAACTCTGGACTCTGCTCATTTGCAACTAACTCTTCAGTCCGAGGACCACAAAAATTAATGAAAGCCCTGTGGACCTCCCATTTCCTCCCACTAGTGCTGATAATCCTAAGTCTTACAGAATTTCTCTCTAGTGTAAAGCCATGACTGTGGCTATATTAATAAATGTTCTTATAGGTTTTATTATTAATTAAAACCTAGACTAGGAAAGAAATTCAGAAATCATTCATGTATTTCCACTTTGACTGAGCCTGTAGCAACTTACTCTGAGAGCTGCTTTGTCTCATCTGCCAGCCTTCAGTTTAGCACGACGGGCAAGCTCTGGAGAATAAAAAGCCCCTGAGTTTCTACTTCCTCTCCCAGTTTTGATTCACTCACTGCTAGCTCTTGCATGAAGCCCTAGGTGGTAAAGAGATCAAGTCAGAATTCCTAGCCAGGAAAACCCTGTCTCTTAGCGACAATGATCCTTGTCTGCCATTGCATTCAGCTCTATGGCCGTTAATACCAGAAAAGCTTCCTCTGGCTTCATACCCTCCTTCTCAGTTTCTTTCAGTCAATTCTTATGTAATCTGTCACTGATGGCAGACTACCTTCTTGCCCTCCTTTCTCCCCTCCCAAGGCTTTAAGCTCCAAAGCTTCCTAGATGCATCCCACCAAAGGGGTGCTTTCTGAAACCCAGCCCTTCCTCTCTTTCTCATCCCTCAAATCCTCAGATCATTCCCCTCTTGGATGTATTTCCCTCATAGTATCAGCTGACACCCTTAGAGAGCCAGCTGGGTGCTGCTAAAAATCCCATTCCTCACCCATCTCCCTGCTGAGTTCCTAGAAGCAGATTCTGCAGCCTCCTGTCATCCTAGCCTCCTTTTCTGTTCATTTGGAAGTTTTTCTCCATTGCTTTTGATAAATTCCTGGCTTGGCAAAAATATCCAGTATTTAGGAAGATCCTGCAGGATGAGTTCCCTCTCTCTGGCACTTTAGTTAACCCTCAGAAGAATCTGCTCCTGCCACCTTCCTGCAGTGCTGCCATTCCCCCTCTGCCTGGCCTACGCTGCGCGGGCTTGATAAGTGGAAGTCCTCTGCACAGCCCTCTTTATCCATCTTGGCAAACAAAGCATGGCTCTGCCCCTGACTTCTCTTCGTTCTCCATTATTTATCTCTTCTCCTTCACCTCCCACTGCTTCCTTCCCTTCTCACATACACCCTTCATTCCTCTTCCTTTAAATCTCCACTTGTCCACTTACCGTTGCCCATCTGTGCCCACTCCTGCCACCCCACATCTTTCATTTTCAGTAGCCATCTTCCTCATCGCCTCTCATGCTGAGGAAGCAGCGTGGTATGGGAAGAATGGCTGCAGAGTGGGTCCCTGGTTGTCAGAGTAAGCTATCCCTTTTTTCCCAGAGGATCAGTGGCTATCTTTTCCCATCTTGTTTTCAGTGGTCCTTAGGAGCCAGGGAACCCCAGGATGCTGACTTGCTTTTGGGATGAAAAAGCTCTCCTCTTTACTTCTTCCAGTGTTGAAGAGGAGAGGTGTCATTTGGTTCAGATGCCCGCTTTTTTTGCTCTTCTTGAGTGTATGTCTGTCGTGTTTCTCCCTCCCTTTCTCTCGTTTGCTCCCTCTTTCTATCTGTCCCGAGTACAAAGCAGCTGCAGGACTGAATGAGTCTGTCTAGAGGCTCTGCCAGTCTATGCCCCTCACTTTTGCTCCTCCCCCTCGCTGTGCGTGCTATTGGGTGGGGGTGAGGGGTTTGGAGGGCGGTGGCATGGTGCCAGCCAACCCAGAACCATCTGTGGTGCCTTCTGCACTAAGGCGGGCTCTCTCCCACCCTCCTCCTCTTCTGCCCTTCCTCTCCCATTTTTAATTAGCTGCTGAATTAATTAAATCCCACATGCTAATTAACATTCCTACAGGGAAGAATACCAGGTCAGAAAGTAGGGGGTAGTAAAGCAAGGCTTCTATCCATTTAGGATAGATTTAGGGATGGGAAGGTAGAGGAAATGGGAAAAAAGTGTTGATGAGGAAAGAGCAATCTAAGAGTGGAAAGACACCTGAGAGAGGTATGAAGAGACAGAGAGTGGAAATCATGGAGAGTGAATATATTAAAAAGGAAAATAATTAGACATTAACATTGGAGAAATGAAAGTGTCTTGAAGCCTCTAAAGATTAGAGGTAGAGCTGTGGGTCTCCAACATTAGCATGCATGAATAACCTGAGAAGTAAGGATACAGAGGATGCTAATTTGATGCCCTGAATGTTTTCTAAAGAAATAAATCTCAATTTTAATAGGAGTGCTTTAGGTTAGAAATGAAGAACTTCCTCCTTACAAGGCCTTGGAATGCTGTACCGGAGGAACTCTTTGGGAGATAAATTCTTATCTGTCTAGAATGGTGAAAGTTTGCCCAAAACCAGGGGAAGTGATGAACTTTGAAGGTTTTTTTTTTCCTAGGGAGAGAAATATTCATCCTTAAGTGTACACTGTGTCCTGGAGAACCAAGAAAATCCAGAATGGGAAAATTAAGGATTCATTTTCAATTCCCTTTCCTTATTGTATTCAGGGTGAACTTTGAGTTTGCTCTTGTGTTCCTGTCAACGTCTTAGGGATGAATCTTCTCTTCAAACCAGATAATTGCTTCCTTGGGAGGTTGAGAGCGCTGATTCCTAGCCAGGACTTCAGAAAGATGACTGTCTAATGGCTGGCATGGGGAGACTGGAAAAAGGCTGGAGTTATATATGGCGCAGAAGAAGGAAGGTTGGGGTGTGGATTGACAAGCATATGACTGGCACCAAGGATTCCTTTAAGGTCACTGAACAAAGGGACAGCTTGCTTGTCATTACTTTTCTCTTTTGAAAAGAAAAGAAGACTATATTCAGTACAGATCTAAACTCTCCCTGTCTGGCTCCTCACTAAGAACTAAAGTCTTGGAGGAGTGCGTTAGGTTAGCAGAGCCTCTTGATGGCAGCTACCCCAGTGTTTCCCAACCTTTTTCAGTCTGAAATACACCAGGAGCAAGTGCTATCTTGTCTCTGCCCCTAACCACCATTCACTTAGATAGCATTCTCTGCCATTATTCATACTGAAATATTAATTCACTCAAAAAATAATTGCATTTAACTGTGCAGAGCATAGAGTATCATTAATTAAAGAACACTTATGAAGTACCTACTATCTGCCAGACACACTAGGCATTCATTAGGTTTAGATAAAAAAATAAAGAATAAGATAGAACTACTACATCTGAGGGGTTTATATTTTGATTCGGGCGGGGGAAAGATGTATTCAATAAAGTGCAGTAACTGTGTGTATATGTGCAAATGTGCATGAACTTCTGTAGCACCTATCGCCTGTGCTGCTTTTGTGTCCTCTTATACTTTTTCTTTCTTTTATATGTGTCCTATCTGTCCATAGAGATGGTAGCTCCTCGAGGGCAGAAACCCATGTCTTTAGAATGAGTTACACATTTCAGTAGTACAAAGCTTCACATGCTTGCAACTGTTCAACTGTGTTGACTAACATACAGCCATATATCAGGGAATACATGTTGCTTTAGAATCTGTGACATTCCTAATTATGGCAAATATTTGTCCTCTAAAGGGAACTCTTATTTTTTAAAGTTATAAAAAACATGACAGAGAGTAAGATAATTATGTGACGAGTCAGGTAAGTCACTAAACAAGATAATGGTCCTTAGTCTCAGTGGGATTTGAAGCCAGGTCCTAAAGAAGGACCAGGGCTGAGGAGAGGGAGTTGAGTGTAGAAAAAAAGTCACAAGCTTGTTTGTATATGTACTGTATTTCCTTTCACTTTTTATAGCCATTTCCTACCATCTTCACACTCAGAATTATGATTAGGCCATTCATACACATTTATGTCCTGTTTTGTTCACTTAACGCTGTATCATATTTTCCTATGCTATTAAAAAATCGGATTAAGAAATGATGAACATGTGATAATACATTATGGATATGCAATAATTTATAAAACCATTTTTTTGTTAGACATTTAAGATGTTCCCAGATTTTTTGGTGGTGTTTTTTTCCTTCTATTATGGATACCCACATCTTTATACATAGATCTTTGTAGTTTTCTGAAGTAGAATATCTGGAGCAAAGGAAGAGGACCCCCCATTCTGGTCTGTGATTGAGTTAGATTTACCCAGGGGAGCTGCTTATTTAATTTCTTAAAAGAATTTATTTTTTTGAATAGGTGAAAAATATAAACACTACAAAGGTAATACAATGAAATCTCCTTCCACCTTTGTCCCTGATTTCCCTTCCCCAGAGGTGTTTTATGTCTGTATAAGTACATGTGGAGATACAGAAGTTTTATTAAAAATACAGCTCATTTGATCCCACCTCCCAGAAATTCTAATCCAGTCTAAGTGGAACCTTGGAAAGCCTTTTTTACCCTCTAAAGCTTTCTAGCTAATTCTACCTTGCAGCCAGATTTGGGAACCACCAAGTTAGATGAACTCTTGGGATCCTTTCCAGCTCTCAGATTTAATGACTGAAACTCACAGAATTAATAATTAAAAAAATAATAATGGTTAGTGTTAAGACCAAACCATAATCAGGCATCATAAAGATTCTCTTTGAAATGATGTCAGGGATCTAATTTTGGATACTGAGTCTAATTTTTGATACTGAATTTATTGTTATTAATACAAACAATGCCTAACATTTATTTAGTGTTAAGGTTCTATGGAAAGTACTTTATACATTCTCATTTAAACCCAATAGCACCCTATGTGCTAGGTAATTCTTTTTTTAAAAATCCTCACCCAAGGATATTTTTTCCATTGCTTTTTCAGAGAGAGTGGAGGAGGGGAGGGATATGAGAGAGACACTTCGATTGGTTGCCTCCCACATGCGCCTCGACCGGGGCCAGGGATCTAGCCTGCAACGGAGGTATGTGCCCTTGGCCAGAATTGAACCCAGGACCCTTCAGTCTGAAGACCGATGCTCTAACCCCTGAGCCAAACTGGCTAGGACTGCTAGGTAATTCTTAAACCAAGGCTTTGGAAAGATTAAGCTGCTAGCCCCCATTATCAAGGGACCATTAAGTGGCAGAATGAAGATTATAACTCAGGTCCTGGCCTGTATGACTCAGTTGGCTGGGTGTCATCCCATGCACCGAAGGGTTGCCTTTTTGATTCCCTGTCAGGGCACATGCTGAGGTTGCAGGCTCGATCACCAGTAGGGGGCATGCGGGAGACAGCCGATCTATGTTGCCCTCTTATATCAATGTTTCTCTCTCTCCCTCTCCCTTCCTCTCTCTCTAAAAAGTCAATAAAAATATTTTTCAAAAAAGATTAGAACTCAGGCCTCTTTTCCAGGCTGGTGTTCATTGCCTTCCTCTCCCGACCCCCATCATGAGATTATACTATGCCTAGTATTTGATAACTTGCTTTTTTCACTAAAAACATATCTTGAATATCTTACATTTCACATATAAAGGTGGCCTTTATATCTTAGTTCATTTTTAGGGCATTGGAGGTATTTTGTCATTCACTGCACATGAATACATTTCTAAAACAAATTTCAAACAGTACAGATAAGGGAAACCCCCTTGATCCTCACTCCCTCAAGTCTTACAACCACTGTTATCAAATTCATGTGTACCTTCGGGACCCTTTTTCATGCATTTATGTATGTACAAAAATATATGGTTTTGTGAGTGTTTGTAGTTGTTTTATTTTTACAATAACGGGAGCATACTATACAGAGGGATTTGTAACTTGCTCTTTTATCATAATTTAAAATCTTGCCATGTCTCTACCGAAAGATCTTCCTCAGTTTTTTAACTGCTACGTAATGTGTGTGGTTTACATAACTGTTTCCTTAATGATGGAAATGATTATAAACACTGCTATTGTAAAGAATGTCAAATTATTTTTCTCATAAATGCCTAGAAGTAGACTGCTAGATACAAGTTGGAGATGTTAGTGGAGAGTGCCCTCCACGAAGTCTAACCCAGTTTATGCTTCCCCAGCCGTGTGTGAAAGTGCCATTTCCCTCGCCAGCACAGGCACACTGCAGCTCTTCCCCTGAATTTGCTTTATGTTAATTGCTTCTTCTAGATGGTCTCTTGCAGAACAAGCCAAATATTGACAGATCTCTTTTGATTAAACTCTAGGGTAACTTTTCCCCTATTATTTCTGACCTCTGTCTTGAACCTGTTCTCTGAGATACATAGACTTTTTTTTTTAAGAGTCTAATTGTCTAAATCTTGTGTCTCTTCTGGCACATCCTCATGCCTATCTGCATCTCCCTTTGCAGTCGCTAATATGTCTGGAATGGTTTAGGTATAACCTTGCTTACAGCCAGAATGACTTTTAATTATTTATTGGCACAGGGAGAAGCAAGTTGAAGAATTATATATAACACTTTGTTTTAATGTATTGCTTATTTTCTGTTTTAACACTGTTTAGTAGCTGTTATTTTTCCCTCTTTGCCATCTGTTCAGAATGTGTGTCAGGCTACCTTGAGTGAAAGCCACTAGAGGGTAAGATCATCAGGAGGCCTCTTGATGACAGGGCAGCACTGGCCAGCACCCAGAGTGAAAATGGGCCTGCCCTGATGATAAGGGGCACAGGCAACGTCAAACCCTACTGACTTTTGGATCACATAGTTAGGAATAAATAAGCAACAAGGAAAAATAAATAAATGATACTAAAATTAAAGTGTTAGAAGAAATAAACATTGTTTGCTATATTAACAGGTTCAGTTGCCTTAATAAGTATTTGAGAAAAAAGAAAGGCAACAGATGAATTTGGGAAGCCTTCTATTCCTTAAGGCCTTCGTGGATTTTTCTCCCGTGTGAGTGATGGAAGAGTAAATATGTAAGAGGCCTCTTCTAGCCCTGGGGATCAAAGATCCTTGAATAATTTGGAGTGTTTGCCTCTGTGGCCATAGAAAGTGCAAGTTGGGTAATTTAGCTTCCAGATCTTAATGCCATGACTGATGAAGGAAGAAAAAAGTGACAGTGAGGGACCATTCAAGAAATTCCAGAGCATTAGAGCTGAGAGGGAGTTTGGAAGTTGTTTAACAATGGCATATGGTTTAATGGGCTTTGGAATCTGAAAAATAACTGATCTTGAAATTCAACCAACTTTCTAGCTGCATAGTTTTTGCCCAGTTACCTATCCTCTCTGAGCATCAGTTACTTCATTTGCAAAATGATGATAATAACTACTTCATAGGATTTTTATGAGGAATAGAAATAAGTATAAAACATTTCTCATAGTGCCTAGCATATAGAAGGTACTTAGTACATGTGCTTAACACATTGGCCAGCATCCTGATTTGCATGAGGAAACCGGCTCTGGGAAGTGAAATGGGCAGCCCAAGTTTATCGCTTGTGAGTAGCAGAGCCAGGCCCTGGATTTAAATTTCTTGACTTTTAGCCCAGTTTTCTTTCTGCCACCCCACAATGCAGTTGTTTTTCGTTCATTTTTTATTTGAAAAAGAAAAGAAAAATCATGCTGCTACCACCCCTCTACTCCCTCCCCCCACCCCTATATGCATTCTTCTTTGTTCTTCTTTGTGTATAGAGAGATAATTGGGACAGGAACCCTGCAGAGGTATAGGATAGGAGGAAGCATTTAGTTGGAGAGGCTTAATTGACCAGCTTATCAAAAGGTCTTGCCAAGCTGGCAGTAAACCAGTGATCCTGAGTCCTGCTCTGGCTGTAAGCAGTGAAGAGTATGCTTGAAGCTCCTCCACTCCCTCCCCCTTATTTCCTACTGCGCTTGCAGGCTCTGGTTGGCCAGCACTTCCAAATGGATGAGGCTGATTTGAGCCAGTATCCTATTGGTCAACTGTTTTCTCCTAACTAGGAGCTACTAAGGAAGATGGCTGGTTGGCCCTTGGGATTTTTCTGCAACCTGCAGAGGGAAGAAGGGAGGAAGAGGTGAAACTGGAAGGTCCAAGACTGAGAGTCTGGCCTCAGCAAAGAGATGCAAAAGTTGCCCTGGCTAGTGTGGCTCGGTTGGTTGAGCTTGGTCTGGTGCACCAAAAGGTCGCCAGCTTGATTCCTGGTCAGGACGGGTGCCTGGGTTGTGGGGTCAGGGCACCTGTGGGAGGCAGCCAATCAATGTTTCTCTTTCTCTCCCCCCTTCTCCCTTGCTTTCTCTCAAAAAAAAAAAAAAAAAAAATCATTTAAAAAAGAGAAAGATGCAAATGCCTGGGAATCCTTGGCTCCCTTATTGTTAAATCCTGTGCAGATATTGCCCTGGATGGATGAAGTTGGCAACACTTACCCATTCTCCTTCTTGAGCTTTGTCAGGGACTCTTGTATCCTGTGCTGCCACATCCTGTCACTGTGGTACCCTGTGCTCTGGACCTTTACCTACCTTTTTTTTTTTTCTTTTTTTAAAATTTTTTTATATATCTTTATTAATTTCAGAGAGAGGGCAGCAGAGGGAGAGAGAAATAGAAACACCAATGATGAGAGAGTCATTGGGGATGGAGCCTGCAACCCAGGCATGTGCCCTGACCGGGAATCGAACCTGGATCTCCTGGATCCTAGGTCAATGCTCAGCCGCTGAGCCACGCCCGGCCGGGCTACCTGCTTTTCTTGATCATGTTTTATCTCTTCCTACTCCCATTCCCAAAAGGCCTTATTTCTGTCAGGAGACAGTGAATAAATGAAATCAGCTAATCACTGCTAATTAGTCTGATTTCTCATGATATCCTTCCTAGATAATGCCTTAACCTAAGTAAGAGAAGCACTCTGGACATGGGTAATTTGGGCAGCATGGTATTTGTAACAGGTAGCATTTGCTAGGTGTGCACTAACTCTGAGTACTGCTTTTGGTATTAGGCACTGTGCTAGGTGCTGGGATAAGATGCGAGCCTCTTATGGAAGAGTTCACAGTTTAGAAGTGAGTCAGGCATGTTCAAATAGTCATTATAATATGAGGTGTGCTCTGGGGCAGACTATTTGTATAAGGTCTCAGTAACATCAACTGAGCAAATCCATTGGATATGTTGGGGGAGATTTTGGGGCCTCATTCCTGGCCTGGGTGCTGGCAGTAGGGAGCCTGCACACTTTATTTGTCTGTAGACTGAAGATCTCATAGAAACCTGACAGTATAGTGGAGTCAGAACTTTTGAGAGTTTTTTATTGGTACAGAGACTCTGTATCTGAGAGGAATTTTCTTGATGGAGCAAAAGCCTTGATAGCATTGTTCAATCACCGAGGGGTAGGGACAGTCATCACATGCTTTTATCCAGTTCTCTGAACTAGAGCTGGATTAATCAATAACTTTTTTGAGCACCAACCATGTGCAAGGAAGGTATGGGAATCAGGCATATAGATTCCTTTCTGGACCCCAGAAGCCCATGGTCAAGGCTCAGGGCAAAGCTTGTAGGGCCAAAAAGAAGGAAGGATAGTGATTTAGAAATTACTATTAAAACAGCTTAGTGGCAAGAATTGAGCTACCAATAATTACATCTTTTTAAAAAAAATAAAAAGTACTCCTTGCTTGGAGCTAGCTACTAAGCAAAGCCCTTGATAAATACTTGACTGGCTAAGACTTGTCAATGCAAGGAAAGCCTTTCTGAGGGCCTTGGTGAAGTGGTATTGCATCACTTGAAGAAATAAAACTCTCTCAGCTCTTAAATGTGTATAAACATATAGTGCTTTAGGATCCTTGGAGGGAGATGGCAAACTAAATGCAAAATACCATCATTAGTCTGGCCCATGCCATTGGGAAACCCTTGTCCTATTTTATAATATATTTACATATTAATGTAGGGTAGATATTATTCCCTCTTTATAGATGAGATGAGGCAACTGAAA